TTGCAGCTCAGAGACTCAGGATCTCTGAAAGTCTCTGAACTCACATGGCAGCTCAGGAAACTTCAAGAAGCAGCTCACCTTTGACTTCCCCTCGGTTTGCCTCTTACGGTCCTCTAACTGTGCGTTGCTGGAGATCTCTGGTGTCGAGGCTCTCTTCAACAAAGTCAGAATTCGCTTTCAATCCCTCTAATCTCTAATCATTGATAGAAATGCAGTCATCTGTTTTTATGACCAGCAGATATATTGGAAATATGAACTTCTGACTCAAACATGTTTTAACCCATTTGTTTCCTCTGTTTGATCATCTGACAGTGTTCAATCTAAACTTAACCCTTGTACGGTATTCGGGTCTGTGGGACCCGTTTTCATTATTTAGCTAAAGAAAAATGATATGATAAATTATTTTTTCAAACTCACACAATGGCCTTGGCTCATTTTCTGTGAAGAACATCTATCAAAACACATTTTCAATGACCACCCACTTTACACGGGCCACATTTATATTACATACAGGATGTTCGGGTCCAATGGGCTAACAAAAGTGTGGAAATTGTATGTCCTGTGCACCTGTGTGTGTGTGTGTGTGTGTGTGAGTGAGTGAGTGAGTGAGTTTTGTGTTTCTGCCCCTGCCATTCCAAGCAAAAGCTACCCTGCAGTATACAAAGTAATTCAAAGGTGGCGTTTGTTATCATTGCAGGCTGTAACAAAATGTGATTATTCGGTATAGATTCATTCAACCATCCAACATTATATTTAACAGACAATGTAGTGGCAGAGATTTGGCTAAGAAGTTTGTTGTTAAAAATACATCACATTTCCATCTTCTAAAATTGATAGATTTGCTGCTTTTGCTTCAAAATATAAAAAAATATTGACATGTTTTTTTTTGTTTATTCTGCAATAAGTACTTTACTCCTAAAACTTTAACTACATTACACATTCGTACAAAAATACTTTTACTTAAGTTTGATTCTCAATTCAGTACTTTATTGATAATAACATTGGACAATATAAATGTTGTATTAGTAGTCCTTTAACAGATGATTAGAGATTAGACTGTCTCAGTTAAATTAGTTTAAAAGTCAGATCCTGCCGTTTCACCTGTTGTCGTCACTACACAGATGGAGGCAGAGTACGCATGCGCAGTATGGTCTGCATCTTCACTTGGAAATTATATTTTATTACTACGATATTTTTTGTTCTCCATCAAACTAGCAGCTGTTAGTCAGCACTGCACCCGAAGTATCTAATTCTTTTTTCAAAACAAATGTTAAGCTAACATAACAAAGTTTAAAAAATGACATTGTCTCATTGTAAAACTTTAAGTTACTTGTAATTGACTATACTTGAGTGGTTTGTACTTATTCTACACTAAATTACAAAGGGAAATCTTTTTTGTTGTTGATTTAGATTATCATATAAAATATATTTATTTTATTTTGAAAGTCTACGCCGGAAGCTGATACCCGTACGTCAGTTGGCTTGTAGCTCGTCTATCGGCTGTCAGTTGGAGTCGGAGAGAAGCGCATGATGTCAGGCGTCTAAACCTCGGAACATACGGGACAAACTGGGCTTTTAAATCACACTGGACCGCACTGAAATGAAGTCTGGGTGAGTGAAATTCAATGTAATATAAAACCTTAATGAGCCTCACAGTTTTTAAACCACACCGTGTTTACAAGCGGGGCTTACTGATGGCTGTTTTCACCGTAGAAAAAACGGCATTCTAACGATAACTGGCAATTCAAATCTCATATATTCAAACCGTGAATATTTTTTTAAAATTTAAACGGCTGTTTTATTTTTTCGGTGGCGTTTTTAAAAGTAGAAATTATTTTAAGAAATACGATGTTTTGGGGTGTGCCTGAGAAAATAAACTGTTACATTTACAGAGAAAATCTACAATAAATGAGCAGTAATTAGCTACTGATTGCTTGTATCAGCATCCATGCATCAAATGTAGGCCAGCTCAGATGAATTATTCATTCATGTAGTTCATTTTCAATATTGTTATGTTAAGAAAATGAATAATGTGTGTAGGCGGGCAGTGGTGTAAAGTAACTAAGTACATTTACTCAAGTACTGTACTTAAGTATAATTTTGAGGTACTTGCACTTTCCATTTTCTGCTACTTATACTTGTAGTCCACTACATTTATTTGACGCGTGTAGTAAAATGTAACTTAATACGTGTGTTTATATGATATATATATTTAGGTCTAATTTACTCAGTACTTTCCAAAATGTGCTCCATATTGACTTATTACAACATAAAAAACTCATATGTATTTAAAAACAGGATAATATCATGTTTTATTATAATGTAAATCATGTATAAGAGGCATTCTGCACTATCAGTGCTGTTGATGCTTGAGTACACTTAACTGATCATTCTTCTGTACTTTTACTTAACTAACATTTGCAACACAGGACTTATACTTGTAATGGAGTAATTTAAGATTGTGGTATTAGTACTTTCACTTAGGTAAACGATCTGAGTACTTCTTCCACCACTAGGCGGAAGATAATCAGATTTACTGTATATATATATGTTGTGTTATTGTTGGTGTAGTCTGAGTACTAGCAGCAGTCAGTAGAGCAGTCAGTAGTAAGACTATAAGAAGCTCTGAGGTAATCTGTGTTGGAGGGAGGTGGGCGGAGCTACAGGTGAACCACACCTGCAGAGGCCAACATACAGGTAGATCCTCTCAGAAACATACAACTGAACAGTGGTGTGAAGTAACTAAGTACATTTACTCAAGTACTGTACTGCGTATATACACTTAATACTGTAGACATGACTACGGGAGCAATTTAGGGTTCAGTATTCTGCCAAATGACACTTCTACATGTTAACTGCAGCGGCTGGGATCAAACACTGATTCGTACACTCCCATTTACCCCCTGAGCCACAGCTGCCTCACGTTGCTTTGTATTAGTAAATAGTTACTCTAATATTTTGGCTTTACAGTAGCTGTGTCTCTGCCTTTAATTACTATCACAACAATAAGGATATAAAGACCAAGACATTTGTAATCTATGTATTTTGATCTCAATCCTACAAATGATATCCTGTAGATATGAATTCAGTGTAAAGTGTTATTTCCAATAATCATGTTTTATTTCCTCTTATTCTCTCTACAGTGATAACAACCAGACGGAGGAAGTTAAAGGAACCATGTTGACCAAGAGAGTCCGGTCAGAGTACATGAAGAAGTTCAGGGATCCTAAGTGGGAGACGTTTTCCAAATGTTACGAGGACTCAGTGAAGTACCGCCTGACCCGGAGAGTCATGGAGCATTCCCACAAGTCCTGGTTCTTTGAGGGCTGGGACAACAGCTCCGAGTCCAGCGGCTGGTCCACGCCCAGGCCCAGCAGGAACAGAATCGCCCCTCTGTCCCTCCCAAAGCAGAAGATATCCAACCCCGAGACAAAAGAGACGTCTGAGGACAGGGAGACGGAGACGGGGGCCGGGGAGACGGTCGTAGACGCTGCTCCACTCGCAGGTGAGGAGACTGACACCACTACTGACATTCATTTATACAACCGATTAACTGTTTTTATCATTGTGACGGGGTTCTCTTTGTCCGTCCGTAAACATAGGCATAGTCGCTTGATTCAAGCTCAAAAAGTTGTATTTATAACGACAAAAAAATATATACTGTTTGACCAGAATATCGAAACAGAATAAATGAAATAAACAAAATTAGGTTTTCTTTCACTTCCACTGGCTGTTGCCTTCGCTGCAACAATGTCCAGATGGCAGTCCAGGGCCAACACCGGTATCAAGCAAAAAAAGAGACACATATTCTCTTATTCCAGCTGAGTTGATTCCTAAATATATATATTTTTTTACTCTTGATCGAATAAATCAACACATTTAAAGACATCAACCCCTATAAACAACACATTCATCGATCATAAGGTCAGTCTGAGTTCAGGCTTTCAGTCAAACGTCATTTTTGCAGCTCTGTCTGGCACAGAAAATAATGTATTAATCTTAGAACTTTAGCGCCTACTTTGAACATTATCAGGTATTTTGCAAATCAAAATACATTCACGTCAAATATATTGAGTTTGATGCCTATTAGCAAATGTCAGCATGCTAACAACTTGACTCAGATGGTGACAGTAGTGCATTTTATTTTATTTAGCTGGTGCTATCCAAAGCGACAATAAGTGCCATAAACAAGCACATTATCTTAAAGGTGGGGTAGGTAAGCTCGATATACACTTTTTGTTATATTCCATAGAATGCTCTTAACATCCCGATAGCAATGAATATCTTTTTTTGCATGTTACTTGTTAGACGCTTTTATCCAAAGCAACTTACATACTCAATACTCTGGACAATCCCCACAGGAGCAATTTGGGGTGAAGGGTCACAGGGACACAACGACATGCCGACTGCAGTGGGGTTTGAACCTGTGACCCCCTGATCCGAACACCAATGCACAACCCACTACACCACACGCCTCTTAAGTGCTTTGACAACAAATCCATAACAAAATGTCATCTGTGGAAGCCGTGGCGCTGTAAAAAGCACGACCAATCATCTGAGCCGGCCCGGCTAAAATAACTGGATGGCCTACCTGCCTGTCAGCCTTCCATCTGTGCACAAACTTATCTCGTGCCCTCATTGGTCATGTGCGCGTTCGTGTGTGTTGGAGGAAGGGCTCTATAAGGAAGTGGCAGATTTTCTCCGGCTGTGTATTTTTAAATTCTAGCGCACTCGAGCTGGTTTCTCCAAAATTACCTACCACACCTTTAACATTAAGAGAACATTATTTTAAACAATGTTTTTAATTAAGTAGCTAATTGAACATGCTATGGTGCTGCTAATATGTAAACTATTATGCTCTAGTTACTGTATATAACATGTTTTAGGTACATTCAATGTATTCCTCATGTTGATTAGTGTGTTTATTATTATGGTTGTCATTCCGTAGTTAATAACAATGTATTGATAAAAATTGAATTGTTTGTGATGTGTTTTTTGATGCTACACAAAACCAGGAACTAACAGAACCGAA